GGACCAGCCGTCCCCCCTCCTCCCGAGGGCTCTGAACACCTCACTCCCTGCTGCACCCCCAGTGCTGGTGGCCAGGACAAGCGGCCCGACCCAGTGGGTTCAGCCCCAATCGGAGGGAGGACCCCACTGAGCACAGGCTCCCTCAGGCTGGGACCAAATTTAGGCCCACACACCCCATGGCGGGGGGTGGGGGAGGGCGCTCACCTGTGGCCAGCTCGCTCACTCGGACAAGGCCAGGGCCCAGCCGCGGTTGTGCCGAGCCAACCCATGAGGAGCCTGCATGTCCCCCGCCTGTAAGCCGGAGGTGACAACACTGTTGATGGGTCAGTCATGACGAGGGGAGGGGGCACCGGCCCTACCGTCGCGGACGTTCAGGCCACAAGACCCTTGCTCCGGCAGGTGTGGGGCTGTGGGCGACCCACCAGCAGCACCGGCCAACACTCTGCCCCTGGGGCTCACAAGACCTGTTCTTCAGACCACACATGTGTAAAAAGGCTTTTATTTTAATATTAAAAATGGCTAAGCTTCCAAAAGTTCTTAAATAGGCTTTCAGAGGAGCCAATGTCAGGAGGCCAGTGAGCAAGGAGCGAGCCTGGTGCCAGGCGGATGGGGGAGCAGCAGAGTCCCCGCCCCCTGGCCTCCTGCCAGCCATAAATAACCCGCCCGCCAGGCAGGCCGCGCTATGTACACAACCAACACTACCCATGCCCGGTGCGGGCCCCGGAGGACTGCCCCCAGGTGCCCACCACCCAGCCCGGCCCACGGTTCCTGTGCCTCCCGGGGCACAGCCACCCACCGCAGAGGGCGCCCTGCAGGCTGGGAGGGGTGGGCCAGCCCAGGCGAGGGCCACCTCCCGGCACTGCCGCCCTCCCCGCGAGGGACCCCTGAGGGTCTGGGCTGCCCTTCCAGCCCACGTCGTTTGCACCAAGAGCACAGCCGAGAGACACCGGTTCCTTGTGAACATGTTTCTCCTCTCGGGAGACACGAGAGGGGCCGCCTTTCTGGCCTCCGCCTCCCAGGCTCCCAGCGCCGAGGCGGGAGCAGGCCCGTGAGGCCTCGGGACCCAGACCCTGCCCCTGGCTCGGCAGGGCGGACGCGTCCATCACACAGGCAGCGGCCTGGACTTCCCTGCAGAGGGAGGGGCCTCGTTAGCCTCCATTTAGGGCAGGAGGGAGCCAGGCAGAAGCACACAGACAGACAGCAGGCAGCAGGACGGACCCAGCCCTGAGCAGCAGGCCCCCGGCACAGCCCTACAACCCAAGGCGAGGTCAGGCGCGGGCAGCCCTGGGCCACTGGCCCCCACTCACCTGGAGACGGCAGCCCCAGCCTCAGGCTGAAATCAAAGCAACAGGCATCTCACTGGCGGGCTTGCCTCGGGCCGGGACCCCCATGATCCACCGCCCCGCCCCCGCCTTTGTACCCCAAGAACTGGCTGGGCCAGCGGTTCTCAACCTGTGGGTCGCGACCCCTTTGGGGGTCAAACGACCCTTTCACAGGGGTCGCCTAAGACCATCGGAAAACAATATAATTACATTACGATTCATCATGGTAGCAAAATTACAGTTATGAAGTAGCAACAAAAATAATTTTATGGTTGGGGGTCACCACAACATGAGGAACTGTACTAAAGGGTCGCGGCCTTAGGAAGGTTGAGAACCACTAGGCTGGGCCTTTCTGTGAGTGGGACAAGTTGCGGGCGGGAGGCCTGGATCCCAGTCCTCTGGCCAGGCCCGCTCCTCATCTAGGACGTGCGGTGAGCCCTGCCCGTCAGGGCTGGTGACGCAGACCTGCTCTGACGGGGGCATTGCAGGAGCCCAGCCAGCCCGGCCAGGGACACTCATGTCCAGGGCCCAAGTCACCACCCCACTCGGAGCCCTTGGAGGGGGCTCTTCCGTTTCCCTCTGTGAAACGGACACAGGGCCAGGGAAGGCTGTGAAACAGGCTCTGGAGAAGTTTCAGGAACTTTTTTTAAAAAGGAAAGTTTTTAAAAAGCCTGTCTAGGTAAGGGCAGTGCCGTGGCTGTGACTGGCCTGTGGGGGTGGCTCCCCACCCACCGCCCGCCCCCTAAACGCCCCCTAAATGCTCACCCGAGGGCTGCAGCCTCCTCCGGATGGAGCCTGGGCGGCTGGAGGTCCCAGAGCCGGGGGCCGAATGGGCTCGTGTGGAGCCCGGTGGCGTCTGGCAGGCCGGCTCCCACTGTGGGCAGGGGGAGCAGGTGGGTGGGGCCTTGCTCCCTGCACCCCTCCACCACGCTCCCCTCCCCTCCCAGCCTCCTGACACCGCTCCCGCGTCTGGGAAATGGCTGCCGTGACGGCACCACGCTTGTTATTGCGAGTTAAACGAGGTAACGCAGGGAAAGACCTGAAAACAGGCCCTCCCTCCGGCCCCTGACCGGAAGTGCCCCCCGCAGGCCTGAGCCAGCCCCCTACCTCCAGGTGTTCTTGGCTGGACCAGGACCCCAGCTCCGCCCTGCGGGCCCCGGGGCCCAGCTCCACAGAGCGCACCCTCTCAGCAAACTTGAGGGAGTAGAGGGTCTCGCTGGTGTTCTTCTCCACGGGGGACACCTGGGGGACACGAGGGCTCACTCCCCACCCCAGGCAGCTGCCCCCACAGAACGAGGGGCAGCATGCTCACCAGAGGGCGCTCACGGCCAGGGGACCCTGGCCCAAGCGAAGGAACCGG